AGCGCGCATCAATCGCAGCGGCAGCAACGCTCGTCGGCTTCACAATGGCCTCAATATCATCGGGAATCTTCATGAGGGACGGATGCGCGGCAAACGAAGCATCGACAAGCGGCAGCTTCACGCCGTTCACTTCGACCCGGTCCTCGGGGCGGTCGTGCGCCAGTTTGAATGACCAGAAGCCGCCCCAGCAGAAGCCCGCGACGCCGAACGACAACTCTGCGTGCTGCTGGCGCAGCGCGCCGATGAAGGGGTACAGCCGCGCGCGCACGGTGTCTTCGGAGTTGGCGTATGAGAAGGGCAACCAGTACGCCGTAACGCGGGCCATGTGGTAGGCGCGCGACACGGCGGCTGCCAGACCCGTGGCTTCGAGGGCGTGGATAGAGGTCAAGAGGTCAATTGGGAAGGATTTGCCTGGGAGCCGGGGAGGTCAGTCAGGATGCCAACGAAGGTGTCGCAGGTATTTTCATGGACAAGGTTTCTGAATTAGGACTTGCAACGGGCGGGACGAGACGAACCGGCGTGCATTTCGGGCAGGTAGACGATGAAGGGACCCTTTTCGGCGTACGAGTCGGCCAGGATGCGCGTGTTTGGCGACGCCCAGCCAAAGATGTCGGGCAGCACGATGATGACGCCTTTGGGCGTGGTGCCTGCTGGCGGCTCGGCGATGTAGCAGTCGACGCCATGGACCTTGTCGACTCGTCCAGCGGGCGTACCCGTGTGGATTTCGCCGGCGACGCAACACTGCTGGACCATGGTGGATATTGGTTCTTTAGGCAATTGACGGGATATCTGGCGGTTTGGAGAACGACGAAGCGGTGGGCCACGTCGAGAGGGCGAGCTGCTGTCTAGAGACTCAAACGCCGGAAGTATCGAGGCGGACTGGGTGGTGGACAAGCTTGGCTATACTGGAGTCAGTCTAGTCGGAGGTTAGCAGCGCAAGCGGCGTAGAGAAAATTTATGGCAGCTCGACGACCGAGGGACAAGAGGCCCAGCGGACTTAGAGCGGAAGTAGACAGAGCCATGTCGCCGGTATGCCAGGCGAGCGGAAGGCCTTTGTCGTGCATCTGGATTGATTGAAGTGCAGCGAAACGGAGAGCGCCGTGTGGGTGGAGAAGGGAAGACGGAGAGAAGACGCGACCCGAAACCTTAACGCCGTCCCTGCATGCGTCAGTCGCACGAGAACTCTCAACACCATTTTTTCGTCATCTCTTTCGGTCCTACACAACGGCACCAGCATCAATTGCCACGATGGTACATCCGGACATGTTGTCATTTATTTCTTTCAAACGCTGACGGCTGCCTGCGAAAAGGTTCACGCCGAATCTTCCACCTTTGCGGCCGGCATCACCAAAGCGCAGGCCTATGCCCAAGTGCTCGAGCAAGCCGCCGCGCTGATGGACGGCCAGAGGAACTGGGTATGTGAGGGCTAAACATGGCCCTTTGCCCGAGATCAAATCCAGGACAAGCGCTCATCGGACCAAAGGTTTGGTACGTCGACAACCACCATCAGCCCACCACCTACCTGGACCAAACAAGGCCCAGCTGACAATGCGCACGCAGCAATCTTTCCAACGTCGCCTCCCTCCTCTACCACGCCTACCACTCGCTGTCAGCTCCCTCCAACGCCGTCAACTGGTGCGGCTTCTACGTGCTTGACCACTCGGTTTCCGCCCGCGACCAGCTCATACTCGGGCCCTTCCAAGGCCACGTAGCTTGCCAGACAATCAAGTTTGGCCGCGGCGTCTGCGGTACTGCTGCCGCGACCAAGACGACGCAGCTGGTTCCCGATGTCGAGCAGTTTCCAGGCCATATTGCGTGCGATGGCGCAAGCAAGAGCGAGATTGTCGTGCCCATACTCAAGGACGAGCACTGCGTCGCGATCATCGATGTAGACTGCGCCGAGGTGGAGGGATTTGATGAAGAGGATAAAAAGTACTTGGAGGAGGTTGCCAAGCTGCTTGCTGGGGGCTGTGATTTTTAGGATGAGATGACAAGAAAACGAGAAAAGGAAGACGAAGCATGAGAAACGCAAAATGGGCTTGAGCTAGCTGATGATGTATAGAGGCTTTTGGATTTACAGCAGGGCTCATTGTACAGTCAAATGCTGCAAGACCTAGCCAACAGATTCACTACCAAACGCCTCTCCAGTCTACTCGATTCCTGATCTGTGTTCCACTGCTCACCCACTCCAAAACACGCCTTTTTGATCGACCACCAATGGTTGAGAACATTTACAACATCACACGGAGGAAGCCAAGCATCGTCCGCAGCCTCCGAACCCAATCCGACAGTCCCTCCAAAAGCAAAGAGCCCAAAAACGATCGTGAACCAGCATCTGGATCCAAGACCGAGTCCTCGGATCCAATCCGATGATGCGCCTTGAAAAAAGCGGAAAGCCTGGCAAAAGAATATCAACTTCGTACGTCTACGGAATCGTTGGCTCCGTCTGGGCGAACGCGGAAACCGTGCCGCCGAGCCGCCTCAGGAATAAATCGCCCTCTTATTGCCTAAAGAGGGAATTTCGGTGGTCAAAACCGCCGATTCCAAGGTTGCGAAAAGCAAAATGGGTTGCAAGCTGAACAGGTTTCCTCCGTCCCTTTCTGAGGGATTGTCTGTAGTTGTTGACACTGATTCGAGGACCATTCAAACTACTCATGTTTATCAGCCTGCAGCTCGGGCAGATCCGCTTATGCCGTCTCCCACCCTCCACTCTCCCCACGCATTGTCTATCAAACCACCCCGCCTTTATCAAAACCTCACGTGATGGACTACTGCAACACCGTCATTACCTCAAATGCTAGAGGTTGGAGTCTTCAAAGATGGCGATGCAGGAGTGAGAAGCTTGAAAAGCCTTGAAGATTAGCGACTTGTGCTTTGGGAAAAATTGTCGTCTACCATGGCATCAGCAGCAACTGATTTCTTTGGGTGGCACCAGGCATCGCCCACCTCATACTTGATCATCATCGGCGTTGTTGTATCTCTGGGCTACTTCATTTACAAGGTTTGCCAAGATCGTCGACTTGAAGCTCCTCTAACTGGTTGGATAGACTGCAACATACACCGACATACCACACATCAAAGGGATACCAGAGATTCCCGGAGCGCTACCCGTGGTTGGTCACCTCTTTGATTTGGGGGATGATCATGCCACAGTCTGCGAAAAGTGGTGGAGACAGTACGCCCTACTTTTACATTTAGATGATTCACTCTAACAGGTGGATTAGATACGATTGGTCCGTCTTCCAAATACGTCTTGGGAACAAGCGTGCCGTAGTATTCAACTCATTCGAAGACTGCCGCAACATTCTCGTCAAGCACCAAAATGCAGTCATTGACCGCCCAACGCTGTACACCTTCCACGGCGTCATTTCCTCAACTCAGGGCTTCACGATCGGCTCTTCTCCCTGGGATGAGAGCTGTAAGAACAAGCGCAAAGCTGCTGGAACTGCCCTCAGCAGACCTGCCCTCCGAAACTACTATCCAATGTTCGACCTGGAGAGCTTTTGCATCGTTCGAGACATGCACAAAGACAGCAAAGCCGGGCAAGTCGAGATCAGTCTTCGGCCATATATCCAACGCTACGCTCTGAACACGACTCTCACTCTGTGCTACGGTATCCGCATGGACGAGGTTTATGACGAGCTTCTGCGCGAGATCCTGCACGTGGGCTCTGCCATTTCTCTCCTGCGCAGCGCATCCGAGAACTATCAGGACTACATCCCGGCTCTCCGATATCTGCCAAACAACGAGAAGAATGCCCGGTCAAAAGAGCTGCGTGCCCGCCGTGACGCCTACCTCAACCAGCTCCTCGACAAGGTCCGCGAAATGATCAAAAACGGCACCGACAAGCCGTGCATCTCGGCCGCCATCCTCAAAGACCAAGAGACCAAGCTCACTGGCGTCGAGGTCAGCTCCATCTGCCTGTCACTAGTATCGGGCGGCTTCGAGACCATCCCCGGCACCTTGACCTCCTGTCTCGGCTCGCTCTCAACGCCCGAGGGCCAAATCTTCCAAGAGCGAGCGTACGCAGATATCAAGCGACACTATCCCAACATCGCAGACGCGTGGACAGACAGCTACCGCGAGGAAAAAGTGCCCTACGTCAAAGCCATTGTCCAAGAAGCCGCCCGCTACTACACCGTCAGCGCCATGAGTCTGCCGCGCAAGACCGTCACCGAGGTCAATTACAACGGCGCCGTCATCCCGCCCAAAACCATGATCTTGATCAATGCGCAAGCGGCCAATCATGGTAAGACCCCTCTACAACCCTCCCTGCACACTCACCAACGCTTTTCTCCAGACATCGACCACTTCGGCCCCGCGGCCAACAAATACGACCCCGAGCGCTGGCTCGACCCCATCACTCCATCCGCCACGCTAGGTCCCTTCACCGAAAAGCCCATCTCGCAAGGCCCCGCCCACCATTCGTTCGGCGCGGGGTCGCGCGCCTGCAGCGGCCAGTTCATCGCCTCGCGCCTCCTCTACACGGCGCTGATCCGCATCCTCAGCTCCTACCGCATCGTGGCCAGCGAGGCTGAGCCGCCCAATACCGACTATGTTGACTACAACCAGTTCAAGACGGCGCTGGTGGCTATTCCAAGGGATTTCAAGGTGAGATTGGTGCCGAGGGATAGGGAGCAGACGGAGGATTGCTTGGAGGAGGCGTTTGAGAGGACGAAGAGGCATTATCGGGAGGATGTCAAGGGGTTTGAGGGGGTGGAGGGGTGAAGACGAAGCTGAAGTTGAATCAGGGGGGGCTGGCTGGTTGATGTGGGAAAGATGCCAGCTCGTGCAGTTGAGTGAAAAATGGCAGACTTCAAGAGCTATCTATTGCCATTCAAAAACCGGGCTACGCTGAAGCACCTTCCATAGTGGTAACAAGTGCAATGGAACCTCTCGCCACGGCCAGCGCGCACGGCCACCACGGGATGCGCTTCGCTACCACACTTCAACCACCGCGCAAGAAGCGAAAAGAAAGGCGCCAAAAAGTTTCCAGCTTATAGGTTCGCCAGGAATCGAACCTGGGTCTTACCGCGGAAGAGACTGTCGCCGCGGTAATATGTTACCACTAACCACCAACCCGTTTTGTGTCGTGTGCTGCTGTACGGGTGCAGCGAAATTGTGCCAATATAAAGGCCTACTTGCAACACACTACCACAAGACTTTGACAGTTTTCCACGCGTAAAGCTAAGGAGCTTTTCCAAATCCCCATCCTGGCCCAAGGCGGCAGCACCAAACCGCTAACCGCACTCCTCCCTATCCTTCGACACCACCAACTAAATTCCAACCAATACAGAATTTTTCTTGACCTGGCCCAGTGCTGGTATGACATGCGACTCCCAGGGCAAACGCGAATCTGGCTCGCGAATTAAACCGGCCAGTAGAAACACGAGGTTCTGCGCATTATTCTACGGCCACGGGAAACAGGCACTGGCGCCGCGCTCGTGGCTTGCGTCGCAGCAATATTTTGAACTCTCTTGCAGAACGTCTCTTTTTTCTTTTGGCTTGCAAGCCTCTGTTTTCTTTCTCGTCCTTTCACCCCGTTCCTGGGCTCTTCTATTGCTGCAGCCAGGTAGGACCACGGGGTTGTGACAGATCAATCACAGAGTGACTGAGAAGTCAGCATTCGCACACATTCCCGTCCCGTATAGCGACGAGACCAATTCCGCGGTAGATGGGATGAAGGAAGAGCTTCAAAAGCGACTACAGCGCTAGTCCCGCAAAACGACGAGCGACATGGATGAGTCCCTCCAACACCAAATATGTGTCCTTTTCTCCATCCTAACCACCCCCAAGGAAACCACCAGACCCTCCCCCCCAAACTAACCCCCTTCCCTCACAGCCAGCACCCAGCTCCCTCACCTCCTTCGCCCCAAACAAAACCTCCTTCCTAATCCAGCACCTTGGCATCATCGCGTCAGTAGTCACCCACGTGGCTGCAGTGACCATGACCACGGTTGTTCTACACTGATACGGATAAACAACAGAGCGCGGGCGGCAGCGGCAATCATCAGCCGCGTGCCTGGTGCGTGATGAACAGGAGAGTCAGACGGATGGGCAGACGGTGTCGAGTCAGGGACCGCAGGGGTTTGGTTTGGGCGAATTTGTGCATGGAGGATTTTGGGAAAAGCGGCAAAGCAGCGAAACAAACGCACCTACCTGCCTCTTCTGAAAGCACGGTTTGAATTTGCAGTGAACAAGAGCGTTTGCCGACTCTGCAGAATCAGTACCTACTTGCCACTGCCCTCGCTCAAAAGTCCAGCAGCACCAACACCAGCCACCGCGAACACTCCGCGACTCCCGCGACTCGCTCCCCTCCCATTATTATTAGCTGTCCGTATAAGCACGCAGCACCGGCAGTTCGTCAGTCGCTCGACTCATGGTCTTATGCATCATCGTCCGTTGATCGACACGTGGTTGGCAGCTCGTGCGTATACGCACGCACGCACGCACAAACGACGAGCGACGACCAGACCACTGGCGACCGTTGGCGAGTCAGCATGCTGGCTCCAAACCTGCCGCATGGAGAAGCGGGTTTCATGCCGCCGGACGCGAGCATGCGAGGATGTAGAAGGTGGCGGGCGGATGCGGCCGAGAGAGCTGTGGTTTTGCGGTGGTGAGGTGAGTTGGCATCGGCTGGAGAGGAAAAGGGAAGGGGAGAGAGAACGACAGAAGGAAGGGAGAGGAGAGGAGAGATCGACGTGAATTATAACCTTGGCAAGATCGACCACCTTGGTCATCAGTGGTGTCTGCTTGATTATTGAAAAGTAGGTAGAGGTATGTATGTATGTAGAGACAGACAGATGAGATGACCGCGACAATCTCATCACTGGTAGATGGTGATGGCGAAGGAGCAGACGGCCAGCGGGCCGTCGACTTCTTCGATCAGATGCAGATGCTGCCTCAAGGTGTCCTCCTCTTCTTCCTTCTCCCACCATGCCCAAACCTTCTCCGGTGCCTCGTACTCTCCCAGCTCTTTCTCCATTTCTCGTCCCCTTGACGCTCTCCGTCAAAGACTCGTCCTCCACCATGCTGTACTGTACATTAGAAACACATCTACCGCCGCCACCCCTTAGCTGAACAATCAAAATAACGCCGGGAGCGCCAGATGATGCATGCATGCAATGCAATCCAAACAAACAAACACGTCAGGTATCCGCTCGTGCAAAAACGACAGAAAAGATAGGGGAAAAGAAAACTGCCCGCGGCCATGGCCGTCATCTAGGCAAAGGAGGGAGGAGGTCGAGGAGCCAGCGGGGAATCGCCGAGCGAATGGATGAGGATGATGAGGATGATGAGTAGAGGATGGTGAGTTGGTCGAAGAGAACCGTGTCGCTCGCTTGCTCGCTCGCTCGCATTTACGTGCCGTCGTTGTCATCGTCATGGATAGTCTCGATGATGGAAGAAGAAGCGTCTTTCGCCGCAGCCGCACCGTGCTTGACGCGACTGCGGCCCTGTAATTGCTATACCAGGCTCTCGTCTGATGAGCTGGTCTGCAACCGTGAAGACTTGCGTCCATGCTTCTTATCCCTGCCGCCGTTGTGGTACTGGGAATGCGATGCGCCGAAGCCGCCGCCTCCTCCTCTTTCTCCTCCAGCGCTCCCTCCATGTGTCGTCTCCTCGTCCGACCGGTTGAGGCTCATGCTCGGACGCAGCGGGAAGTCGTGCGGGTTGCCCGTCTCGAGGTCCATTTCGGCCTCGGCGACGCGCGTGATTTGGACGCTCTTGCTGACGTGGATGTCGCCCGCGCCCGTGATGACGACGTGGTCGTCGGAGCCCTTGTCCGACTCGTCGCTGCCGTTGCTGCGCCAGCCGCCGCCGCCGCCCTTCTTGACCGTCCCCGGCCCCGTCACGATCGTCGCCGTCGCCGTGTAGTCCGGCCGTAGGTTGCCGAGTGTGTGCCCGTCGTCCTGCGAGCGGAGGTACCCCGTGCGGTTCTTCGAGGACCCCAGTGCGTTGCCGGTGCTCCAGTTGGAAGCGCTCCTGCCCGTCGTGGCTCGAGGGGTTGAGAGCCCGGTGCGGTGTAAGACGTGCTGGAGTAGGGGGCGAAGCGTTGCTATGCATGCGGCGGTCATGCCGATTCCCGGCTCAATCGTACTCCAAATGGCAATGTCGGTCGATTCGTCTAGGGGGCTTTTTGTTAGCACCAGAGTGATTCCATTGGGACGTGAAGCGTACAGAGAAAGTCGTTCCGTGCCGCGAAGCCCTTGATGTAAGGCATGCGAACCAAGGTTGCGGTGCTGCCAATGGCTGCAAAAGCCAGAATACAAACCACAACCACCTTTGTCCTCATGTTCATTTGCAGGTCCCAGACAACGAAGCCGGGCAGGACGCCTGGACAGCATTAGCAAGCGCAAGATTTCCACAGCGTCATGCGTACCAAAAATCCAATCGGAGATGGATCCCAGGGCGGCGGCGGCGTAGGCGATGCCGACAATGGCGTCGGGGTTCATGCAATTCTCGTTGTTTGGCTTGATGGTCCAAAAGGTCTCCATGGGGCTACACTGAAAGATGAAGACGAAGAAGTAGGCAAAACTGAGGACGAGGACGGCGACGTTCATGATGTAGATGAGAATGACATGATTTCTCTTGACGGCGATGCGCAGAAGAAACAGACCCTAATGAAATCATCGTATAAGACATAGCCCAGGGCGGCGAGGGCGCGGGCGAGCTTACAACTGCAACCTTGAGCATTGCCGTTGCGAGGGTATAAAAGAGCTCGCAAAACCACCACCAACTATTCCCTGTCAGCATCTGGAACAAAGAATTGGATCGGGGTGGACCCACCGCAAGGCCTTCATGATGGCGTCCTTCTCGAGCTCACTGTCTTTTCTGCCTGTGCCGTACACTACACCACCATCCTGGCATATCAGGTAGCCAGTATACAACAGCAAAGCCGACATCATGGCCCAATCGTCGATGCCCCATGACTTGATCAGATAAGCTCGCGTGTAGACTCGCAGGGACATGGCGATCCATGTCATGGCGAAGAAGACTATGTTGATGGCCAGCACCTGCTGGCTGCGGTCCCCCATGGCCGTTGTCGACGGGCGGCGCGCGATGGAGAGGAGGGATATTCAGAGCTTGTCGACATCCACTGGCATGTGCCAAGGCTAGCGGACGCTGCAGTGTAAATATCTTTGTGTGATGTTCATCGGATGCGGTCCTCAGGAGGTAAAATTGAGCTGCCGCTGGGGACTTGCAAAAGACCAAGACTTAAAGGGAGTGGGGACCAGGCTCCGCGCAGCCGCTAGGGTGAAACGCAGGAATCTCTGGTCGCTTATCCCAAGTGTCCCGCCCGGCAGAACGTTGCAAATTGCCTAGTTCGAGGCCTTTTTGGGAGGAGCTATGGTGACCTTGTGCCAGAGCTTGGGCTTCCGCAGATTCTAACTGGCCGTTTTGCGGAGTCTTGCCAAGGTCAGGCCCGAAAAGGGAGAGCATGCCGGGGAACCGGGGCTACTGCGGTCTTCTGAAAGATGTTGATTGCGCAGTTATGCGACGGGCGTACGTCAACTGTTTGAAATCCGTCTTCGCCGTAGCGAAGCTGCCGAAAAGCTTGCCCTGGCCTCTGACATTTGGCTTGCTTGACCAAAAATCTGATATCGCCGTTTGCATGTTGTTGAAGACTCCGGACGAGAGCTCGCCACCCTATTTCCTGATCGCCGGTGCACGGATGGCTCCACGTGTACTTGAAAGGGTTAACAGGGGAGGTGGCACGTTTTTTGATCTTTATGCTGGGTTCTCAGAAGTGACGCTCCCGTGCATTCGGCTCCTGCATATTGAAAAGCATTGTCAGCGCGTGCTTCTAGAAAAAGGGTCGAAGCAAAGTTGGGGGCGATATGTCGGGGCTTCGTGATGCTCACCAGATCTACGGACTTGCCGGCTTACTCAAGTACCCTGATCCATGTCGAGCTCCCACGAACCGGGGAAGTTGCTCTTTTCCTTCATAACCTTATAAGCGTGCACATCGCGTTGGATCCGTACGATCATGGCCTCAAGAGGCCGACGCAGAATCTTGTAGAGCAAAATACGGCCCGTTTCCAGCCGCAGAGGGGCATCGGTCCAGGGCTCAACGAGTCAGC